AATGGATGCTCTGGTCCTGCCCTGCGGCAGTGGGAGGGCCGGTGCGGGCTTCAGGGGTTGCTTAGTGCCTCCTGCTAGAAGGTGAGGATGTCATCCTGTTTGCACGGGGTGGGGGAGATCAGCCGGTGCTGACTCAAGGGAAGAAACGCTCAGATGACGTACAGTGAACGTGTTGAGTGGGTACCTCAGCTTAAAAGTACCCACGAGTGAACAGGCATTCCTTTCCGACTGAGGTGACCTGATGTGTTAACAGTATGCCAACTATGAATCACCTACCAACACAGGCAAATAAAATCACTGGAGTATATGTGTCTAGTGTAGCTTTCATAACCACCAAGGCAAATTCAAAGGCCACAATGAAGAATTTAAAATTCATACAGGAAATTAATTCTCCTGGTAGTTCTGAGCTGTACACGTTCTAATAGAGGTTCAGTGCCTCTGCTGAAGCAATGACAACTCAAAATGTGTTTTCATGTGATTTGGTATGATTGGAGTTGGTGATGTCTGAAAGTTGCACACTGCTTAGAAAATCACTGTTCATAATGGTCGTTACTGCCGCAGTTCACATCAAAGTTTAATATATTGCATTTATACCTCGGTTAGGCTTTCTCAGAGTATGTTTAGCTATTGCAAAAGTAAGGCATTGATAGCAATTAAAATATACAGAACATGCTAAACTGTGGCTTGGAAACACCTTAGTGTAGATAAAGTAGGCTTTAAATGAAAAAAAAAAATCTATGTATCTCTCAGTAAAGTATGGAAGCATACCCTCGTTTCAGAATGGTGGAATAGGAACTTGAGAATCCTTGCAGGATTCAGTGTTGTGCTTAGAAGTGCACTTAATATTTGCTGGCTCACATCTCAGATGCACCTAATCAGTGAAAAGTTTAGAGTTTTTTAGTAACCATCTTCCTTGTTGGTCTTCTAATTCAAACGGGTGAAGCCCTCTATGCAAGCTGCTTGTGGTTTCTGTTACCAGAACAGCAAAACTGAATGCGTCATCTTACATGATACGTGGTTCTGCCTCTGTGCATATTAGCCTAAAGGAGAGTAAAAGTAATGTGTAGATTCATCTGACCTTACTGTAGTATGGAGAGATGTGCTGTCATTTTCTAAACAGTACATACAATTTGTTGTACTTAATTGTACTGTGTAAGCATACTGCTTGTACTGACAGTTTTGCTAATTGCAGTGCTGAAATATTAAGAATGTAAATGTTGACAAAGTTTTGCATACCAAGAAAATCTGAAACTTAAACTTTGTAGCTTTTTTTTTTAATGCTGTATTTATGTTTAATGGGCACATTATTTTCTAGTAAGTTTGCTTTTGCCATCTCAAAAAAAGCTATAGCCCATGTGATACAGAGAGAGATAACTGTAACCACCTTTGTCCTTGGTCTGTACTTGAACTCATATTTCTAATGATGGCCTTTCTTGTTATTTGTATCAGCTGTTCTCTCTAAATTGTTAGTCGGTGATTCTTCATTCTAGTAGTGCTTAGATCCAGTTTGTTTTTTCCTTGGTTGCTATTATAAGGGGGTTTTGTCAGAATAAAGAGAGTAGCAACATAAAAGTGAAGGTATGTGTGTATACATACATACACACACACAGATATATAAAAATGCAAATATTTACATATGCGTCCCTTCACTTTACACACACACACACGCACACACAGAGTATGAAGGAAAAAGGAGGGTAAAGGTCAAAGCTTGGAAATGCTACCCTTAATATATTGGAAGTGTCTGTTCCATTTTCCTTTGCCCCATCTTAGTTATGTATGTTTCTTCATGTTTCCAAGTATAGGTAAGCATATGTCATATAAACCACTGTAAAGTAACATAGAGTCTTACAGATCAGATCAGTGGAAGTTTACAGTAGAAGGCATTATGTATGTATGTTAGCTGGAGAGCCCAGAATTTGCAGAGCCTTTTCAAATATGTTTGTCAGGCCAGCACTTTCAGTGCTAATGGGTGTGTACAAAAAAAAAAAAAGGGGGGGGGAGGTGAGGGTTATATTTTGTTCAGAAGAGCCATGGCTTTGTGGAGTCTTTTCAAATATATATTTTTAGGCCAACAATTTCAGTGATAACCAGTGTGTTTAAGAAAGAAAGAAAAAAAAGTTAAGGGGTATATGTGGTTCAAAAGTATCAGAAGTTTGATTTAACTGCTACTCTGCTACAAGTTTTTTTTTCATTCCTGCCTTTTTTTAATGAGTCTTTTAAGAACAAGATAGTGATGACACACACCTTTGTAACCTCTTGTAAATAAAATGATTTTTCAGTAGTGTATGAACTCTAGATGTCAGTTCAGTAATGGAATCGTAAGATCACACTGGTTTGGAAATCAGGAGTTTTCTACTCTGCTGCTGTATTGGACTAATCACAATAGATCTCTCTCAAATTTTTTTTCTGTTATCCTTCTGACTAGTCCTACAAATATATTTCTAATTTTTTTCTTGAGCTCCCACTATATGCAGTTATTCTCAGTGTTTGCAGACTTTCAGTTAGTTCCTTCAGTAGTCTTACATTAAAAAGTTCAGTTACCACAAATTGTGCTTTATTTTGTTGTAGGTTCAAGATGCTGGGCAAGAGATGGTGGCGTCTTCTGTCACGCCAGGATCAGGCAAATCAAAGGTAATCAGTCCTCACAAATCTAATTTATGTGGATAGCAATAGTTGAAAGAGTTACAGCTTAGCATGCAAGCTGTGACTACTAGGAAGACATAAAGATATTTTTAAACAGTTTCCTGTCTTCTAGACTTCTTGAAAAATTGATTTACAAACACTAGGCTAAGGTGTTTTGGAAAACATGGGGGGAAAAAAATCTCTTATTGGTATGTTCACTTCCTGCCACAATATTTGCTAAAATATTAGTAGCATCCAGTTCTGGCAGTAGTCTGTTTCATAATATACACAGACTTCTTTGCATTTGTTGGAAGTAAGTTTAAACAATGTCAATGTTAGGTCAGCATGTTATTTTCAAAACATCGTTCAAATTATATTGCTGAATCGTAACCCTTCCCAACTGAGTTCTCCTGTCGAACTGATGCTGCCCAGTTGTGTGCTCTAGAATGATTTTGGAAAAGTACAGAATTAGAAGTAGTTTCTGTTATTGCACTTGAAATAACAGAATTGGATAACATAACAGCAGTAACTTGGACTGTTATTGTTCTTGCAAATGTGTGGTAAGACAGTTTCTTGCCCTAATATTTAACAACTTGGAAATCGGATGCTAAAATGCCCTGTTTTCTGTTTACCTCTGGGTTAGAGGAAGCTGGTTTCTCTAATATGTACTTTTTTACAGCTGGACACATTGCCCAAAGAAGACCTCATCAAGTTTGCAAAAAAGCAAGTGATGCTTATACAGAAAGTGAAGTCAAGATGTACAGGTACCTTACTGGAAAGAGAACAATTTCTGCCTTAATGCTTGGTACTATCTGACCTTTCCTAATATCACTGAATATTTTTACTAGGTAGATTTAAATTCTAGGCAAATATCCTAGATTTTTTTCCTGCAATTTCACTCTTTTGTGGGAGGATAAAGGCTGAAGTCCTTAGAGCAAGGAAGGGAAGAGAAAGAAGCATTGCTTTTGTCAGGTATTAAGTTAATTTTGATCTGGCAGTATGGCATGATGGAACAATGTAGCTTGTGCAAGAGTTGAAGTAGGACTTGTCATTGTCTATTCCCCATATCTGTTGCAGGGATACCTGTTGCTTTTCAGGAAGCAGATGGGAGGGGGAACATCTCTGATAGATTTTTGCATAATTCATAGAATCATAGAATCATAATTAGTACTGTTGTAGAGTACAATAGTTTCTTTAAAATAGTTAGCTACTTTATATTCAGTCATTTGCTTCTTTAAGAAGAAATCGTAAAATATACCAACAAAAATTTTGTGTTAACCACCTAAAAGTATCCTGTGTAAATCTGTGTTCTCATGTGCTGTCCTTCTTCTCTCTGCTGTCCCTTTTCCTCCAGCGGCCCACTACTTGGACTGGTGTCACTTCCCCTTGTTTGGAGTTAGTTATGCTGACTGCTGGTAGCTGCCCAGCAAAGCAGTAAGGATAGGGATGGGCTATACTAGGTTCTTCCTCAGTGGGGTTATTCATAAGATCTTGTTCTTCTACCTGCTGCCTATTTTTAGAGAACCGGTAGGAACTGAATATCTTTTGTCTGGCTTAAATTGATCATGAAATAGGTAGAATTTTTTTTGATGATTGTCTTACTTTCTATCTGTTGTCCCTCCACCCAAACAAGGAAGCTTTGCTTCCTCAGGAAACCATGCTAAATGTCAGGACTGGAGAGGTAGTACTGAATGTTTGTTCTGTTTCTGTTAGCCCTTTATATCACTCAGTAACAAACAAAAATTGATGAAGTAAAAGACATCTCTGATTTGAATAAGTGTTGTTAGGCACTGGATTTACTAGTAATTTGCTACTGTGATGAAGCATCAATTTATGCTGTGAAATTTCTATACTTTTTTAAGAACTAGAGAAAGAGATTGAGGAACTCAGATCTAAAGCAGCTACTGGAGGAGCTGATGATATTATTCAGGTAGGAATATGTAATGGATTTCTAATGTATTGCATAATGTTAGCTGAAATAAATCTACAGAGATAATTTGTGGGAAATAGTAAATAGCTTTAAAACTGTGATTCAAATCGAATGTAATCAATTTTCAGGAATTCAAGATGCTTCCTAAATACAGCCTTTTTTTTCTTCCTTCCCCAACATCCTTACTCCGCTTTTCAGAAAACACTATCAGTTCTGTGAGGAATAGTACAGAATAGTACAATTTCCTCAGCAAGACTTTTTCCTTCTGTGGTTGGTTAGACAGGCTTTTGTTTATTTTAGAATGACCACTGTGGGAAGACTTCAGCCATTTAGAAAACTTCTGAGGCAGTCATTTGATGAGATCAGAAATACATAATTAAAGTTGCATGTCACAAGAAATACTTTTAGGAAAGTAACTGGAATTTTTTTTAAGTGGCAAGAACATCTGTCTTTCTCAAAGTAAGGGTCATAGGCAGAATATGAAAGTGAAAGTTGGTAGTGAGGAGGAATTTATCAACTGGAAAATTGTTTTTAATAATTTGGGTGGAGATTTCTTTTCTACAGAAGGGGAGCTCCCCCCCCACCACCACCACCTGGCAATAAAAAAATTAGCCGATCAGAAATACGATTTTGAACAGAACCTATTACTGAACATCATTGTTTTAGTCTACCTATTCCATATCTGTCATATTTGAGTTGAAAGTAACTTTTAAAATCAGACTGATCTGTTTAATTGACAAAAAAAGTCATGATCAATATGTGAGTTCCTACAGTTTGCAAAAGTCATTCAGGCTTCCATTGTTAAGGAACCCTTCTTTCAGTGATCTTTCTCCCTTAAAATTAGGCTCTCACAGAAAGACTGGATGTTGTACTTCTGGAAAAAGCTGAAAGTCAGCAGCAGTGCTTAGCTCTGAAAAAAGAAAATATTCAAAGAAAGCAAGAAGCAGAGGTACTGAAATGAGCAATAGAACATTACTAAAATATTTCAGAATTATGTTTATTTCCTAGTTTTCATGTTGTGTATTTCACTTTCTTTTTAATCTTTTTCTTCACTTACCTGTGTTCTGTTTTACCTTAAAAAAAAAGTCTGAAGGCTTCATATTTTTAAAGCATATTTTCTCCGTACCCCCTAATTTATAGTTTTTATAGGACTGACAATAAATACAAAATTCTTATATACACCAGCTAGATCCACAGCTGTTCCAAAAGAACTCAGTCTGTGCATTAGTAGCCTACTTATGTGATGGCTTCAATCAATCAGCTCTGTCTTTCCATGGGAAATATGAGGTTTACATTCAGGTATTCATAGGAAGGAGCCTGCCAGCCAAGGCATCTAAATTATGTCTGTAATCTTAATAATAAAGAGTGAATTGCTTGCAATTGATGAACATTGTTATATTCCAGATACTTGAATTTGGTGCGCTAAAAGTAATTTGGTCTTTAATACGTTATCGTAATAGTTGCTAAAGCTAAAATCTTTCATGACCGTTTTGTGAAATTATGCTGGTAAACATGATTTAAGACTTAGTTTTCCTTTCTCATTCTGCAAATGTTTTTGTACTCTCTGCAGTGTCTTCTGAATTGAGTTGTCCTAACATAGTTAGATATTTTAAAACTATAGCAATTTTTAAAACTAAGGACTCCTAAATCTAAATCTTCTAACTCATTATTGTAAACAGTTTATTTGGAAATTCTGTGTGCTAAATTACCAGTATTTAATAACTTGTATGTTTGTTTAGGCTGCAGCGGCTAAGACAGAAGAATTGCAGAAGCAACTGGAGCAATTAAGTATTGACTCTCTGAAAGAAAGAAAAGCTCTGAAGAGTGAATTAGCAAATGCACAATGCAAACACAATGAGGACTTAACAAAGCTGAAAATAGAATTAGAGGAACAAGTGAAGAAACAAATGGGGCTGGTGGAACAGATTGAACATCATAGTGATAGTCAAAAAGAAGTTAAAAGATTACAAGATTATATCCAAAGAATTAAATCTACATATGAGGAGCAAATTTTGTGTCTGAGCAAGCAGTTGGAAACTGTGAATGAAGACAAAAACAAAGAAGTGACAAATCTGCAAGAAACTATTAAAAGCAACTCTCAGTGTTACCATAATGAAATCAATAATCTGAATGAAGAGCTTAAAAGATTAAAAATTGCCCATCAGGAAGAGGTGTCAGAGTTGATGCATCAGATTGAAATATCTTGTAAAGAAAATGAAGAAAAGCAAAATCAGATAAATCAGTTACAGCACAATTTGGCAGAGGAGGGCTTAATAAAAGAGAAAAATGCGAAGGATGAAATGTGTGCTCATACTGACCAGCGTGAATATGACTTGGAGCAGCTGAGAGAAGTCTTAAATAAAAATGTAGAAAGCAAGATAGGTCTTGTAGACACACAAGAAGAACCTTGTGTAGAAGCAAAAATGGAAGAAAAGGTTAGGCACCTGGAGCATAGCTTAGAAGAGCTCCAGTCCCAACATAGTATATTAAAAGATGAGTTAACTTACATGAGTAATGTTAAACTAAAACTGGAAGAGGAGATCCATCGCATAAAGGACGAGTACTTTCATGAGCGGGAAGACTTGGACTTTAAGATAAATGAATTGCAGCTTACTAAAGAAGATTACTGTGGTGTAATCGAAAAACTGAAATTGGAGCTTCAAGCAGCAAGACAGCACTGTGAAACCGCTGTGAAAGAGCATACGTTAGAAACTCAAACTCTGAAAGAGCAACATAAGAGAGAAATTTCTGAACTAAATGAAACTTTATTATCTGGTTCTGAAAAAGAAAAGATGGCATTAGTTTTTGAAATGCAGGAGCTTAGAGAACAGCTTGAAAAGCTAACTCAGGAGAAAGAAGAAGCAGTATCCAATTACAACAGCCTGAGAGAAACAATGGAAACTCTACAGACTGAGCTAGGGGAATCTGCTGGAAAGATCAGCCAGGAGTTTGAATCAATGAGACAACAGCAAGCTTCTGATGTCAGTGAACTGCAACAGAAACTCCGAGCTGCTTTCAATGAAAAGGATGTTCTTCTTGAAACTGTGAATCGCCTCCAGGAAGAAACAGAAAAATTGTCATCTAATCTGCTAGAGATAGAAGAACTTAAATGTAAAATTGCTAGTCTTCAGGAGGAGAATAACACAATAACGAGCTCCCTCACTGCTGTGAAAGAACTGGAAGAGAAGATCATTGCTCTTACTGATCAAAACAAGGATATTTCAAATGAAGTAAAATGCTTGGGTGAAGAGAGAGAAAACCTTCAGGAAAGGTGCAAGCAAGAACAAAGAAAAGTTCAGGAACTTCAGCAAGAAGTAGGTGTTGCTAACCAGTACAACAGCGACCTGAAGAAAAAGGTGGAGGAATTAACAGAGAGACTGAACGAAGCTTTAACTAGGAAGAGTGAAAGTGCTCAAACGTTAGAGCAACTGGAAAACCAGATTGAAACTCTGGTGCGTGAAAGAGAGAACCTTTCATCTGAAGCATATACTCTTCGTGAGGAAAATAAGAAAATCATTCAGGAAAAAGGCGAATTAAGTGAAGAGCTGGAAAAGTTTACATCTGAAAAAGATGGTTGGTTAGTGTTGAAAGAGCAGTCTGAAAACTTAGAAAAAAACCTACAAATGATGACTGCAGAAAAAGACCATATATCAACATTACTTGAAAGTGAAAAAGCGCACAGATCCCTTGTAAGAACTCAGCTGTACCACTTACTTGAGCAAGTGGGGTCCAGCGTTTCTGATGCTGATGAAGAATATGATTCTTTTAACTTGTTACAAATTGCAAATGAATGCTTGGCAAAAATGAAAGAAGAGCAGTGCCTTGCTGTACAGAACGAGGAGAAAGTTCTTCATTTGCAGCGGGAAGTTGAGAGACTAGAGGAAGAAAATGCAGCTCAATATGCAGAACATAGATCCCTGATTCAGGATTTTGAAAAAGAAAAGGATCTCTTGAGAGAAGAATTGGAAGGCGTGTTGTCTGAAAAAGAAGCACTTCAACATGATATCCAGGAGCTGAAGAATGCCAGTGAAAAAACAAGGATTGAAAATCAAGATCTCTTAGCTAATACTGAAGAAATCACTCAAAAACTTGCTTTTTATGAAAGTCAAATACAAGAACAGCAAAAAGGATCAGAAAAACAAGACGACTTAAATTTGATTCTGGAACAAAAGGAAACTGAGCTTAGAAATGTGAAAGACGAACTGAGTTCTCTAAAGGTTATATTTTGTTATTGAAGTATACAGACTAAACCTCTAAAGTCTTCAGAATTAAGGTTCAAAAAATACTTTCAATTCTCTCTTTTTTTTCCTTGGCCTCAAATTGAGTTTCCCTTCTAGAAAGCACATGTTTCTGAGTTTCCTAGCACCTCAGAATCCCCTCCCTCCCCCCAGGAAAAAAACAACCAAACAAAACCAATCATAATGCTATTTTGACAAAAGTTGCTTGTACTTGAACCTCTCTTCCTATCAGTACCCCCTAAAAGTGATCATTTAACTAGATGGACTAACTGACCTCATAATCCTTCACCTCTAACTTTCTGACTCCATCTCAAACAAAACTCCTGCTTGATCTGCATTAGCTGCTCCTGACTTCAGGTCCTGGGAATTGATGGTTATGTAAACCTGACAGCTGCAGAATTAATGGTCTCCCATTTTTTGTCCTCGGACAGGATGGAAAGCAGCTGTTAAAAGGTTGGAATGTTTTCCTTTCAACATAAGTATGCTTTTCAGTTGCGAAGCTGATATGAAATTGCACATAAAGACTTTCTTGGTAGTAAGAATGTAGACACAGTCCAGCTGTAGCTGAAACTTCTGGTGGCTTGTTAGGGGAAAAACAGATATCACAGAGAAATTTTTGTAATACTTCTTATATCTTTGTTTATAATACAGAATTTAATGGAGACATTGACTGAGAAAACTGATCAACAGTCTTCGGTAGCAGAGCTTCAAGCAAAAATTGGTATCTTTCTTGCTGTTCTTTTATGTAAACAGTTTGGGGGTTTTGAATCGTTAGTTTTTCTTTCTCCGCATAGTTGTCCTGTATTTCCTACAAGCTAAGGAAGGTGGGGAAGTAGGTATCAATACAACTTCCTACAATATTCCTTCCATTAGGGATTTAAAATATTTTTAGCAATCTTAAGTCGGTTATCATTTGGTATTTCTTAAGGTTTTTTCTTCCTGTGTACATTTGGCTATAAACAGTGTAGTGGATTTCATCTTTATTTTTTAAATAAGGGAAATAATTGTGTCAATAAGAATCCCTAAGGCTGTCGATAGGAGAGGAAAGCAACACTTTGCCAAAACTACTGTTGCCTCATTGCAGTTATCCCAACATATGGTTGTTGGAAAGAAAATGGTTCCGAGTTGTTACAACTGTAAGTAGGAGTAGACAGGAATATGGCTTTTTACGTTAACTGTGATGGAAGCCTCTGAAACAGGGAAAGATTGTCCCTAAGCTGTCTGTGCAGCTGGATGTTTTAGCTTCAGATTAAATTTAAATGCTTAACTGAATGAAATATTTGAACACACCCCCCTGCTTTATATTTTGTTTTTTTTTCAAAGTCATGCTGGTATTTGTGTTCTAATTTAATTTCATTTCTTGGGGGAGAGGGGAGGCGTATTTTTTCACTTTCTGATTTATTTATTTTAGGAAGGCTGGAAAAAGAATCTGCAGAAAAAGGAGAGAAGCTAAATAAAATTAAGGTTGTTGCTGTGAAAGCAAAGAAAGAATTAGATGCCAGCCGAAAAGAGGTACCCTGACTGCTTCTTAATATGAAGAACATTCTGCATCTGGGGTTCTGTTTTAATGACACACACTTCTTTGTAATAAGATGCAGACTCTGAGGGAAGAATTGGAGTTGGTTCGATCAGAAAAAGATCAGTTGTCTGCTTCAATGAAAGATGTCATTCAAGGAGCTGAAAGCTATAAGGTAAGAATAGTACTATATTTACAAAAGACAGTTAACTGTCAGAAAACACTTTGCTTTTGAAGCCTAGCCTGGATATATATTGCTATTTACTTGCACAAGTATGTTTGGCAAAAGAAATTATGTCAGTGCGGTTGAGTACCCAAATCGAGAAATGTAAGGTTCTAGTAACAGAACTGTGCGGCTGCTGTCAGAAGAAAATAAGGCACTTCCTTTCTACTGGATGGTATTTTTAAACCTTCTAAATCTAGCATCATACGTATCAAACAATGTGTTGCTGAGGCAAAACATAAATCCTTATGAATTCTTCAAAGTACATTAAATTGGGGATCAGTTAGAAAGTCCTTAATTGATAAAGACAAACTATTCCCTGGGAGTGGGTCCTCTTGGAGCACGTCTCTGGGCACATGAAGCAGGTGACTGGGGATAGGCAGCATCGGTTCACCAAGAGTAAATTGTGTCTGATTGCCTGTCATGATAAAACAGTTGGGGCTGTGGATGAGAGAACAGTGGATGTCACTTACCTTGACTTTAGGAAGGCTTTCAATGCTCTTTCACAGTACTCTTGCATCCACGCTAGGACATCACAGTCTAAATGGGTAAGCCACTGAATGGGTGCTTAAAAAATAAAAAAACCAGTTGCGTGGTTTGGCTCAGAGAGTAGCAATTAATGGCTTGTACTAGATGCCAGTAACTAATGGGGTACCAAAGGGGTCTGTGCTGGGACTTGTCCTGTTGAACTTTAACAATGACCTGGAGAAGGTGATGAGTACACATTCATCAAGTTCTCAGATTATTTGTAATTGAGAACAGTCAATAGACTTGAGGGCAGGGCTTCCATTCAGAGAGACCTAGACAGGCGTAAGGAATGGGCTGACAGAAACCTTCTGAAATTCAACAAAGACAGGTGCAAAGGTCTTCATGTGGGAGAGAGGAACTCCTTGATACAAGCTGGGGACCGTGTGGCTGCTGAAAAGAATTTCAGGGTTTTGGTAGGCACTGCACTGAGAATGAGAAAACTGTGTTCTGGTACCAAAGGTGGCCACAGCATCCTGGGCTGCAAGAACAGGAGTACAGCTAGTAGGTTAACGGAAGTCATTATCTCTCTTTGGTCAGCACTCCCATGAAGGTGAAGGTTCTAGAGAACAAGTCTTATGAGGAGCGGCTGAGGGAACTGGGGTTGTTTAGCCTGGAGAAAAGGAGACTCAGGGGAGACCTCATTGCTCTCTACAACTACCTGAAAGGAGGTTGTGGCGAGGTGGGTGTCGGTCTCTTCTCCCAAGTAACAAGCGATAGGACGAGAGGAAACGGCCTCAAGTTGTGCCAGGGGAGGTTTAGGTTGGATATTAAGAAAACCCGAAAGGGTTGTCAAGCATGGGGCCAGGCTGCCCGGGGAAGTGGTTGAGTCCCCATCACTGGAAGAATTTAAAAGGCGTGTAGATGTGGTGCTGAGGGCCATGGTTTAGTGGTGGGCTTGGCAGTGCTAGGTTAACAGTTGGACTCGATGATCTTAAAGGTCTTTTCTAACCTAAATGATTCTATGAGAGACAGCAGTCCTAAATCAAAATGAGAGATTCCAACTGGATACATGGATAAACATTTTTATCCTATGAGGATGGTGAAGCTTTGGAACAGGTGGCCCAGAGGTGTAGTGTCATCTCCATCCTTGGAGGCAGGTCCTTGGAAAGACCTGACTGGACAAAGCTCTGAGCAACCTGGTCTGTTCTCATTGCTGGCCCTGCTTTAAGCAGGAGGTTGAATGTAGACCTCCTGAGGTCTTTTCCAACCTGAATTACTCTAGAATATTGTGAACTGAAAAGTGTTTCTCCCAGAGCCTGTAATGGAACGATAGCTTTAATTTCATTCTGGTATTTCTGATGTTGCAGTGAGACAACTTAGATGCTAAAATATTAGGAAGTGTCTGAGGTATAGAATGTGCTTATGCAATGAATGTGCTTATGCAATGTATATTGTAAAAAAATGATGGGTTTGTGTTTGTATGTGTTAAGAATCTTTTGATGGAATACGATAAGCAAGGAGAACTGCTGGATTCTGAGAAAGGCAGAGCAAATAATCTTGAACGTCAGATAGATGACCTCACAAGACAGCTACAGGTGTCATCCCAGCAGGTCAGTTCTGTATACATGTCTCATCTATTGTTAATTACAGTAAATTTTTTTTTACCTATTGTGCTCAAGTTTTATTCATCTGATTGTTACCATATAGTGCGTTTTGGATAGTGACTTGAAATTCAGGGTTTTTTTTTCCAACATCTGATATGTTATCTGGGCTGTGACAAAGGTAAATATATCTAGATATTTTGTCTGGCCTTTTTAATAGAAAGGGTTTAATTTACCCCAGGTCAACTCACAGAAAAAGGCAGGTGATCAACTCTGGCTTCAGTTGGAGGTACAACTGTGCGGCACGTACCAGATATAAAAACAAAGTATCAAACTTGAACTATTTGTCTGATTTCACACCTAGACTTCTCATGAAGTACAGTAATCTTTAAGTGTTACATTTTTTCTTCTGTTTTTTAGACAAAATGTGGTTTTGTTATTTAATCAACAGTGTTTAAATATACTAAATTAATTATGCTTTTTTGCGTCTTGCACAAGGATGAGACTTTAGGATGCATTGTGGAGTACTACAGTGGCATTCAGAAGAGTCTAAGATGGTAATTAAGCAGCTGTGAGACACATTTTTGCAAAGCTAACTGAAATGGGTTTGGGATTTAGGATTCAAACTCCCAGGCCCCATACATAATTACACTGAAGATCCACCTAGGCCACTGTTTCCTTATAAACAGAAGGTAGTAGTGAATAGCATAGGAAGAAATGACAAATAGTAGCATATTCTAAATTCAGCAAATTCTGCTGATTATGTAGGCATTGATTTATTCAAGTTTGCTACAAAGTATTTTGTAAATAAAAACACTGTTTAGGTAATTGGCAGCTTCGTTCACTTATACTTCATTCTTAATCTGCATAATAGAGACTGAGATAAAACACTGAAGACTTCAGAATTAAATCTGTTAAAATCATTGCAAAAATAGTCCAGATACAGGAGGATTTCTTACTATGTACTGATGTGATCTCATTGAAGGCTTAGTGGTGCTGCAATTATATCTTTTTTAGGAATTAATAGTATGATCATTTATTTATAATACAGCAGCTGTATTTGAAGTGGGCAATAAGTACTTGAACCTTGCATATTATTCTGGGAGGAAGGTGATTATTGCAGAAAGCATAAATGTTGGGGTATTTTTTTCAGATTTCTTAGAATTCTAGCCATCTTACAGAAAGCTGGGCAAATGAACTCTGAAAAAAATAATCAAATTGTGCTAGTGACTTTAATTTAGCCTATTTCTTAATCTGGTTTAAAACAGTTAAGATGGACAAGACTCATCTTCAGGAGTGCTGTTTGTAAGGGAGTTGGATAGAAATCAGTGTTTGTTTTTTATATACAGACAATATCTTATCTGTCAAAGTCGCACGCAAATTCAGCTTACATTTTTATCTTTCCACTATGATCATTTCAGCATGATCAGTTACAGTCTGCTAATGAAGACCTCCTGGCTCGTGTTGAAACACTGCAATGTAATGCTAAGCTTCTGGAAGCTCAGATACTGGAGATACAAAGAGCCAAGGCAAAGGCTGACAAAGAACTAGAAGCTGAAAAGCTTCTAAAAGAACAGAAAACAAAGGTAGTACTCTGTAGAGATGGCGAATGGGCTGAAGCCTTACTTTCACTGGATGCAACTTCTGTTAGACCTTTGTAAACTGTGTTTTTATAGAACAAGTTCCATACTTTCTCTTCTTGTTACTTGGCTCGGTCTTTTTTGAAGGTTTGGTCTGTTCATTGAAAGAACTTTGCAAGACTGTCACTTAGAGTAGTTTGGGGATTGTTACAGAATGTGAAAAACACTTCATAATCTTCTGGGTTTTTCTTTGGTTCCCAGTGATTTCCTAAAGAAAAAAAAAAATCTTATCTTTGTACAACCTAAGTGTGTGTGCATGTAAGTGTAAATAGATGCTGACATCTATGCTGACATCTATTTTGAAATTGGACTGCGTAATTGAGAAGTATTTAAATTTCAGGAACATAGTGGTGCTCTCCGAGAAATGGAGGAGCTTCAGATGCAACTTCAGAAGGAAAAGAAACATCTGCAGAAAACTCTGCAAGAACTAGAGCTGGCCAGGAAGGTAGAGTTGCTGTTCATGTTAGTGCTTACTGGACTAGCAAAGATTTTGGCCCATCTTGCTGTGTTGAATGCCTCCCTTTCTGTTCTGAGGATTTTAAAGCCCAAGGTTTGCAAAAGGGAAAACACGAGGGTTTTTACCCCTGGTTTTGTGTTTGGAGAGCTGATGAGTACTTTTGGGTATGGTTTTTTTTTTTTTTTTTTATTGTTTGTTTGTTTGTTTGTTTTAGCTTGGGTTATGTGGCCTGTCATGAGTAGAAATAGGAATAGAATTCAGATGTCTGGTACTTGCATGGTGCGCTATTCAGAAGCTGCCCTTGTTGTAAGGGCTGAGGATGATAGAAACTAATATCTGCAAAATACCTACTGGTAAAAGTGTTAAAACTAGTAACAGGTTTTTCAAAGCTTCTAGTTCGTGTTTGAAAACAGATTATTTATTGAGGGTATGGAAACCTGATGAATGGGTGTTGCTTGTGGGTATGGATAGTTACAAAATTTTTGTTAGATGGGCAATATAGTTTTTTAATATAATTTAAAAAAAAAAAGATTCTTAGCAGCCAAGGCAGATTGTAAGCTGCAACTTCATTGTGTGTAACTTGCAGGATGCTCAAAAGAGTACACTGATGGATATGGAAATAGCTGATTATGAAAGGCTAGTAAAAGAACTTAATCAGAAGATTACTGATAAAGACAGCAGAATAGAAGATCTCGAGCAAGAGACGGGGATTCAGAAACAGAAGCAAGAGACCCTACAGGAGGAAATAAGTGAGTAAACTATAAACAGCAAGAGTCTCTATGGTATAGTTAGTAATGGTAAAAAATACAATTCACAAACAACTCAAGTCGATGAGTGAGAGTAAAGTTTGCAGGGAAGACTAAACAATTACATAGTCAAAATTACTTTTCCAGAAAGGAAACTTTACTAGGTTATCAGTCACTTGATCTTGTATTCAGCAAATAAAAGCCAAATTGCCTGCCTGATAAATCATGTTTCTTACTTGATTAAGTCAACCATAAGTTCTAAAAGTTGGTGACTGACAGGGGGTTTCATTCTGACATACCACGCTCATAAAACTTTACTAGTCAGCATGTTGTTAAAAATTTCATTTCTTCCTATCCTTACGTGTAGGTCTTAAAACAAATTCATTTATTTGAAGATCTTTGTGATACATGGAAATAGGATACTAAACTTGCTGTAAGCTATTTGTTTGCAACTCTTAAGAAATCTGTCAGAATTTGCTTAAATATTTTCCAGCATTTTTAAGGAAATATAGGAGGGGAAGTTTCCTTTGCATATAACTGCTATTTTCTGCATTAGAGTCACTTCAGTCAGCTATGCAACAGGATGAGGACAGAAATGCCAAGATAAAACAACTCCTGGTGAAAACCAAAAAAGAACTTGCTGATTCAAAACAAGCTGTAAGTCCAGATGTTAATGACTGTGTATTCCATTTTTAAACTAACTTTTAAAAAAACGGGCTGGTACCTGAATTTTTAAGTTGCTGAGGTCTGGGGTTTTTTAATAACCAGATAATTTTATCATGCAGGAAAATGACCATCTGATGTTGCAGGCATCATTAAAAGGGGAACTGGAAGCCAGTCAACAACAAGTGGAAGCCTATAAGGCAAGAAACTTAACTTCTTTGTTAGTGTAAGGTTTCTTATTTAAGTAATAAGGGTGTGATTTGTACTGGGCAGATGGAATATAGGCTAAAGAATGAAAAGGTGTTATTTTTATTACTAGGTTACTAGTTCTTTTTCTTCAATGAGTTTTGTCTGTTTGCTGCTTCCCCAAATATTTCCCCTGTGATGTTCTTTAAACAGGTTTACCCCTTCTTGTTCCTCTTTCCTTTCCCTTTCCCCCGAAAGAGAGGACTGTGTAATTTGAAGCTTGTAACTGGGATACGTTTTAAAATAATTTCTATAAAAATTGAAGTTGCTCAGTTTAAAAACAAAAGAACACAACATCGTCAGCAAAAATCTTAAGTGTTGTCCATCTGTATAAATTTTGTTGGTTGGGCAGAATAGGAATTGAGTGTTATGAAAGGTAGCAGGGAAGGGAAGGGAGAGGGGTCGGCTTTCTTAAATGCTGCCACCGCACCACTGTAATTTTATCTTCCATTCTCTCTTTAAACAACATCATAGATTTTTTTTTAGTTAAGTATGTGGTAACCCATGTCTATTTTTTATTCTACTTTTATTGGATTTTAATTTTATATTCACCAGTTCTGTGCAAGAATTAGTATAGTAGAATACTATGTGCTCCGTGGCACGTCCCCTTGGAGAGGGAAGAAAAAATTTTGTCATAGTGAAATTTGCAACTGACTTTTTCAGATTCAAGTGGCTGTACTAACATCAGAAAAGCATAAAGTTCAGGAACACCTGCGAACTTCTTCAGAGCAACACCAGCGTACGTTGAGTACTTACCAGCAAAAAATTGCAACCTTGCAAGAAGAGTGCAGAGCAGCCCAGGTACTCTAGTGGAAGAAGTAATGTCAGAGACTTCAGAAGGGAGATTTACTGCACTCTCTGTCTGCTTCTCTAAAATATTTTGCGGATCTTTCACTCTCGTCTTTTTGTCTGTCAAGAATTGGCAATTATCCCAGTGCTTAATGTATTTGAGTGGTGGTATAGAGGACAAGCCAGACTCTGTCCTGGTTGGCACGTATCACTTGTGGTGGAACGTCTGGACTGCACTCTTGCATTTCCAGTAGGGAAAACCTGTGGTGGTAGTGGGGAGTCAGAGTTCATTTAAGATGATCAGCAAGTATACACTGAGGGGGGAAAAAAGAAGCCTTTAAAGAAAAGGGGGGAAGAACAAACAGAGAAGGAATATAATTTGCTCCATATAAAAACAGTTAACACAGATACCACTTAAAAAAAAAAAAACAAACCACCCTGTGAAAAATATATTTGCAAGCACCTTTTAATATGTTGCTATATGAGCAGCTTCTTAATTGGCAGCTGAGTTACATGTGAAACTGACACTATTGCTGAGGTTTTTATTATTTCTGGGGTTTTGTCCATATGACACCGTGTTAGATGTTCCTGGAATCTCGTGTTTGCATTGGAGACAGACAGATTCAGAATATAGTAGGACTGTTACATTCAAACTATCTTTATGGAGATTACTGCACCACACTATAGCCCCTTTTGTATGATAGGTATGCATGCTGCAGATAAGTGACAGTTGAATGCAGCCTCTCAAAAAAACCTCTACATTTTAAAAAGGTGAACTGAAATGGACAAACTTTGTGGGTGCTGCTACAGGAGGCTTGCCTGAGTGTACTGGTAGATACGATTATGGTTTTACAAATGCATTCTTCATAATTGGGGACTTACAGTATCTATCCATGGTGGCTTGCTCCTTGATGTTGTGAAACCAGTCACAGTGTAGATTTTCCATGATGGTATGGCTTGAAGCTGTTGGAAGATTAGCCTTCCTCTTTAGGTGCCCTACATCTAAAAAATAGTTATTATTACAAGGTTATTAACAAAGGAAAATTCTGTCCAAAGGAAAGGTGGACACTAAAGCAGATAGTAGGTTAGAATGCAAAAGTCATGCTGACATTTAAGGCTGTGTACCTGAGGACTTAAGAATATTCAAGCTCACATAGTTTGACTGGAAGAAAAGAGAAGGATTAATTTAAAGAAATGCCCACAAATCTTGAAGACTCCGGAAAAGCTGGAGCAGTGGCTAGTCAGGGTCAGCACTGTGGAATTTCACTCACCCGTTCAGCTGAAGAGAAACTTTCCAAAATCCTCCTCTGGGAGATGAGAGCATCTTAGTCATCTCAAGGATGAGTAATGAATCTGTGAGCTTCTCCTAAGATCCAAGAATGAAAACCTGCATCTGTGTTTTCTTAGAAACTTATACAACGTGAGTACTTGAAGGATGGGAATAATTCTTGCTGTATAGTGTACAGTCAAGGATGAAGTTGTGCTGTGAGGTAATTCTCTGTATGTCCACAGAAGCTCATGTATTAGCTGAATTTAGAAGAGAAGACAGACCAAACACCCTTACAATCAACTAGAATATTATAACTTGTGCTGTGTAATACTACTACAAGACTGACTTAACTCCTCAAAATTATGCATAATTTTAAGGCTTATTAGATTTTTGTCACCTGGGTAGTATAAAAGGAAAACAGAATTATCCCTTTTTTTTGCTTCACCTTTGCCTTCATTTAAAGCTGTTGGATAGAACCCCTTGCTTGTGAATCTCTGTTGAATGCAATTTTTGAATTTGCAAGTATTCTTTCTTTTCTTTAATACTGGTATGTTGAAAATCAGTGCCTCTTTTTAAGTTTCACATGATATTCAATTAAAGTCCAAAGAAACATGATCTGCTATGATAGTCACAATTTTAATTATCCAGTTAAAAGAAGAAAATGCAACAGGTTGTTCTTAATTTTTTTTTTTTTCAATGAAAGATGCATTTCATTTTAGAGAAATAAGGGAGCCATAGTCAATAGCATAACTTAAGGGTTTGTTTTCTGTGTGTTAGGCTGAACAAGCATCTGTTACATCTGAATTCGAGAGCTACAAAGTCCGTGTTCATAATGTTCTAAAGCAGCAAAAGAATAAATCTGCTTCTCAGACAGAATCTGAGGGAGCCAAACAAGAAAGGTAAAACTAAAATTTTTATATGCATAGAGAAAAATACTGATACTTGAGTTATTGTGCTTGCCTTTTCTAATTTCTGACCAACAAGTGGGTTCCACTCTTTGCTTGAATAAGGAAAATATCAGAAGGGAGGCAGTTTGCTTCCCCAGTTACTTTGGTTTAAAAAAAAACCCAAACAACAAAACCCCTCTTTATTTCTATAAACTTTATGTGATCTGTAATCTAACTGTGGCTCTGCCTATCTGAACAGAAGAAGGATCATCAATTTGTACCATGGTGGTACTATGTTAGTTTCTAATTCCTTGATTTGTCTTTTTTTTAGCATTTATTTTTGTGTGGATTACCTGTTGTTACTGTCAGAGGGAGAAGTAAGGTGTTAAGAAGATTCTCATGAGCTGAAATTAGCCAGCATCTTCTGTGTAGACTTGACATGTCATTTTCTCTGACATAAAGTGTTGCAGCAAAGCGCCATTTCCAACTAAGAAGAAAAGAGCAGATTGGTACTGTTCAGCTGAGCTCACTTTGAACCTTTTCAGGAAGGAATGGTTTAGTGTAGGTAAAGCTCTGGCTGCCAATTCAGGCATCAGTTCCAGCGATTTACAAAATACTTATCAGCTGTTATATGAGGAAGGACTTGGGCGAAAGTCTTTGGACTTTTGGAACACTGCCAAAAGTTCCCTGAAAATCATTTAAGTACAGTTGTAAGCCAGGTAAATTCAGATTAACTTCAGAAAATGTCTGAACCCACTCAAAAGTAGCCCAGTTTCTATAAGTTATTTTTATAAGTTATTGATAGCTGTCCTTGGTGACAGACTGGGCGTTTATGCACAAGATGTCAAAATACATTTCTGACACAGGTCTTAAAGTGGTACATGCAATTGCTGCTGAAAATCCACCAGAGGGAGACTTGTGCTTTGTTAGAGGACTTTGGTTTTATGGTTTGTTTGGGCTTTTTTTAATACATCTACCCCTTCTTTTCTTTGAAGCAAGCAAACTGCAAGAGTTGCATTTCTTTGTCTCTCCTTTTTGCAGAATTTCAAGAAGTTCTGGTATTGTTAGGTTTTTGTGAAAGAGGGTCACATTGGAAACAAAGTGGACAAGTAATCAAGCAATAAACAGATGAAAAATAGTTTTCAAAGAAATGGTTTACAAGTGTCAACTCTAAGGGTTAATGAGGTATACAGTTCATGACATAATGGAGATGTCTGCAGATATAAATACAGAAAGCTAAAAGGAGAATGTGTCTGACTTAAGACTTTTTCCTCCTGGTATATCTGATTTTGATTTATTTCTGACCAACAGAGTTATCTGGTTTTACATATTGATGTTGCTTTCTAGTCCTTTGCTCAAAATCTCCTCCAACCATTTGTCTCCTGTATTCAGTCTCATTGAACTGATGTGCACTTCCTAAACAAAAAACCCTCCACCACTTCTAAGAAGAAATTTTTTCTCCCATCTGCATCCCACGTATTATTTTTCCTCTGTCTTGTTCCTCCAAACCAGCTTGAAGTAGAAAGTGATAGCAGTCACACCTTCTACCCCAATAATTAGATTCCCAGCAGTTCAGATGGGATGTGATAAACCTATTTGTACCCATATTGAAACACGATCAGAACTTGCCTAGTTGTTTCTGCTGCAGTCACATTCTAAGATTATTTTGGTCATGATGCTGTATTGATTTAATTAATAAATAAGCCATTTGGATCAGCTATACAAAAGATTGTGGATATAATATAGGTTCTGAAATAATATAATTCTTTTTAAATGTATGCTGTTCATTTCTTTTTTCTCCCTTGCAGAGAACAGTTGGAAATGGTGATAGATCAACTTAAAGTTAAGCTGCAAGATGCTCAGCATAATTCACAGATGAATGCGTCTGAACTCCAGGCGTTGCAGTCTGAACATGACACCCTGCTGGAAAGACACAATAAGATGCTGCAAGAGACTGTTGCAAAAGAGGCAGAACTCCGTGAAAAGTATGGTCTGCTAATGAATAAAAATAGATATTTTATTTTGTGTGAGCTTTAAGGGCTGGGCATGTAGTGACCTATAACTGTACTTCCCAAAGAAAGGGCATAACTGTTGAGAAAGTTAAAGGAATTTTCAAAAGGATTGTTTGCTGTTTTTCATCAGCTTTCAGAAGTTTCGTCAATGAAAATGAAGTAGTAGCTGATCAGGGAATTTGAGATTTCTGCAAGCTTTCTACCTGTTAACTATCAGATTTGAAAATGAACATTGTTTAATTAGGTTGACTATTTTTAAGTCCAATGCTCAGCACTACGTTTGTGTTGGACTACTCAACTATATTTTATGGATGTTTCCTATTAGAAAAATAAGGTAGTTAAATGCAGAGCAAACAATTTCACTGACAAAATATCCAGTCCTGCGTCCACCAAGTGCCTTTCCTTACAGAAAGTTCTGGTTTTTAAGTCTATTCTTGCCACAATCTTAATCTGCTATTTCTGTCAAAGTGAAAGGAATCCGTTTAATCTGTACCACTTCTTGAAAAATCACATGAGTACCTAACACTTGAGCTCTTCAAAAAGGATCTTCCCTTGTCTTTTCTTCTCTGTTTAGGGTACAAAGAAGTTCACATGAAATATTCATTAGAAACTACAGCTTAGTATCAGGAACTGTTGACTTCTTGTGTCTATCTTTGTACTGTCTTATCTGTTCCTGATAGCCACATGATGATTCATTGTAATCAACTAAATTATGTCCTTCTGCATTTTTCTGGAAACAACCCATATCGCAGTAGGTTCCCTTTGTACCCAGAGAGACTAGCTCTTTGCTACTCTGGCTATATTTAAGTTTGTATGCTTATAAGGGCAAGTCCTGTGCTTAGTCTTTCCATACTTGCACTTGTTTAATTGCTTGTGATGATTTTGTCTTGCTTCTGGAGTACCTCCAAACCAAGTACAATTGATGTCTTACTGACACTTTTCTTGCTAACAACTACACTGTTCTACCCTCTTTTGCACTGAAAGTTGAAGCTTAAAAAAATTTCAGTGTAGCTTCTTAGAAATGAATGTTTTCAGAAGTCCTGCATAAATGTTTGGTAAATAAATGTTAAAGGAAGTGGAGTAAAGGTAAGTGACATGCCCTGAATGACACTATAAACAGTCATGTTGCAATTTTTGAATTTAAGAATGTTTAGACCACAGTGTCTCTAATACTTTCATTTTTTCCCAAAGACGTCTGAATTTTGTGTTCTGAAATAAAAATCAAGAGTTTATGTAGCACAGTTCATTCATATGATAGGTAACAAGTGTAACTTCCTCAGTCTTAGATTTTCCCTGTAAAAAGAGGAGTTTAAATGGAAAAAAGGTGCACGGTCATTCTAAGATGATCATACACATGAAAACTGAAAACAACTGTAAACTCTAAAAATTTTGAAATGTAAAAATGACAATGTTTTGCTGTTTGTTTCTTATGTTTTGTGTGTATGCTGTTTTCAGGCTCTGCACAATACAATCTGAGAACATGGTCATGAAAACAGAGCATGCCCAGGCTTTGAGTCAGCTGACAGCCCAGAACGAAGCTCTCCGGAACAATTTCAGAGATCAAGTCAGGAACCTGCAAGAAGAGCACAGGAAGACAGTAGAGACACTTCAGCAGCAATTGTCCAGAGTAGAAGCTCAGCTCTTCCAACTTAAGAGTGAACCAAGCACTAGAGGTAACTTTCAGTCGTAATACCAGGTTTTCTGGGGTTAGATAAAAATTTGCGTACCTGAGTCTGAGTCTAGAACATGCTTATAGTGTGTGGTTCTGTAATACACCATAATTTTTTTCTGGAGAATTTGCAGCATGCCATATTAATCCACTGATACCAAGTAAGGAACATGTTATTGTTATTACTGTCCTTTCAGAATCTTAAGGTACTCAAATGCATCCAGAGGAGGGCAACAAAGCTGGTGAAAGGGCTGGAAGGAATGTCCTATGAGGAGCTTGTCTAATTTGGAGAAAAGGAGGCTGAGGCACGACCTCATTGCTCTCAACAGCTTCCTGAGGAGGGGAAGTGGAGAGGGAGGTGCTGATCTCTTCTCCCTGGTACCCAGTGACAGGACGTGTGGGAATGGCTCAAAGCTGCACCAGGGGAGGTTTAGGCTGGACATAGGAAGCATTTCTTTACCGAGAGGGTGGTCAAACACTGGAACAGGCTTCCGGAGAGGTGGTCAACGCCCCAAGCCTGTCAGTGTTTCAGAGGCATTTGGACAATGCCCTTAATAACATGCTTTAACTTTTGGTCAGCCCTGAAGTGGTCGGGCAGTTGGACTAGATGATCGTTGTAGGTCCCTTCCAGCTGGAACTATTCTGTTCTGTTCTAGAATCTGCATCACTGTTATCTCTTCTGCAGTACCTGCATTGTCAGACAGATGGAGGGAAATTACTTTGCAAATATTTGGTGCTCTTCCTATCAGTTTGTCTCGGATTTTGAAGCATACTGGCCCTCTGCCTCCGGTATTGAGGGGTAAAGCTAAAGAAAAGTGTATTGAAAACTGTTTTAACAATGTTTGTTATTGGTATACTTGCTATTTGATCCCTTTTCTAATTTAAGATTTTACTGTGTTCAAGCTCAAGTGCTATTTTTATATCTGTAAAGTTACTAATTAGGATGTAGTTGGACGTTTGCCAAGCAGCAGTAGCAGTTTCAGAAATTACTCTTTCCGTATGTTACTGAAGCAGCAGGATGGTGCACACAGTATTAAACCAGAAGAATTTACACCTCCCACAGGACTGGTTGAAAGAAAAGCTAATTCTGTTTTGCATTAAAAACATTTGGCACTCTTGTCATAGCTAGAACACATCTTCAGGGAGAGTTGCATGAAGGTTTCATAGTCACTGAAATAAAAATTGCCACTCAAGTTTGGATTTAGAAACAGGCTTTGACTGGAATGGTCATTTGGAGGTGAAAGGCTACGTTTTCTATTATAAATGTATGTGTGTATCTGGCTTTCTCCCTTTTCTTCACCTTTCCTTCTGCTTTTTGAAGACTATTTTATGTACTGCTCTCCAATCTGAGACAGTCAAACCTATGAAATAACCCTACCAATTTAATTTTCATGACAAACATCAGTAAGTATCTTTCAGGTCCAGCTGTTTCAAATCCAGCAACGAAGAACTTAAGAGAACGGCGAAACACTGACCTTCCTGTTCTCGATGTGCACACTGTAGCTAGGGAGGAGGGAGAAGGCATGGAAACAACGGACACAGAGTCTATCTCTTCAGGCAGCACCTATGTACCATCCTTGGAACAACTTCTGAACTCCCCAGAAGCAAAACTCGGTAGGTAGAACACGTGGCTTTTTGAAGCACTTGCCGAGGTAAGTTGCAGAAGTTTGTGCCCTCAAAATACCTGAGAACGTTGTGTTTTCATGCTTTTAGGTGCAAGACACAAGTCTACTTAAATGCCACTGAGTTTACACTCTCCTGAATTTCTGTAGGAGTTTTGTCCTTGAGTAAGGACTAACAATAAAATGTTGCTACAGGTTTTAGTGATTTAAAGATGTCATATTTGTGACTTTCTAAAGGGAAAAGACTGGATGAGCAAGTCAGTGAATAGTTACAGAATTTTTTGTATTCTGGACGAGTGTCTACTAGAGACAATTAAGTGCTGATTTAACTCACATTAATGAAAGGATAAAATGTCTGTTCATCTTAATGTGGCTTGTTAGAACAGGAATTAGTCATTGTTTTTTCTAGGAAAATGAAAGCCAGCATGAAGAGCAATGTTCTAAGAGTCCCCCAAAAAGTAGGAAAATATATGGTAGCATAGAATCATGTTTTAAAAGTCTACTGAATGCTTTGTGGAGAACTGTTGAAAATCTCCATCTATGGGTAGGAAACAAGGGGTAAATGAAAACCATGTATCTTGACATACTTAGAACTGATTTGCCAATCCCCTTCTAATATATATACAAAAATAGATCACAAAACAAGCATGCAGCAGCAGCAATGATGCCTGTTAATTTTGCAATCTGACTTTGCATGGATTTTGTTTCTAAGAAACGACATTAATCAAGCCCTAATGTTAAGTTAGTATAAAGTAGATGCAAGTGCTTTTTCCTTCTCTGTTTTCTTTCCCAATTAATTGCAGAACCATCTCAGTGGCAAACAGAACTCACCAAGGATGAGCTGATTCAGAAACTAAACACAACAGCGAAGAGTGCTGATCACTTGAATGAATTACTTCGTGAATCAGAAGCAACCAATGCAATCCTAATGGAACAAATAAAGGTTAGCAGACACGCAGGAAATGTGGGGACAGCTCTAATTTCTATGGTCTGTTTCTTAGACCAAACGTTTAACACCAAATATGTTTCAGAAAATCCCAGTCTATAAAAATTTGGTGATGCGAAACTTGATTTTGGAAGGGCTTTTATTCCACAGGACTAATTAGCGCTTTCAGAGTTGACTTCAGTTTTGGGGTTTTTTTTTCCCCACAGTTTCTAGTCGGCAGAGAGGGGAAAGTAAAAGCTGCTACAAAAAAAACCTCAAGAGTTTGGAAGTTTAATGTTTAGTAAAGTGCCTCTACTGTTTTCACTTAGATAAAAGCAGTAAATCCCAAGGGAAGCATTGTCTGGTTTCTCTTCCTGTAACCCCTTTTAGCTGTCTTAAGTTAAAAGAAGATACATGTTTAGAGATACATGTACTAATAGAGTTTGGTTTGGTTTGATTTGATTGTACCTCCCTGAGTTCTCTGAAAACATTTTTGAAGTTAGCATATTCTCTAAACACGCTAAGCTTTCTTTTATGAAATGTTTCTTAATGAATGATAATATTGTTAAATCTGTGATCCACGTTGCTTATTTAACTCTTTATCACTGAAATTGAATAGTTAGTACTGTATATCATTATAACTACTGCACAGATTTTATCAAAAAAGGTTAGTTTTGATCAATAATAAGTTGTTGTTTCTGGAAAACATTATCAGAGGTTCAAGTTTCACTGGATTTTTGTCCAGAATATGTGCTATGCACACATTATGCTTTTTGAAGCAAGCTGCATAATTTGCTTTTTAGCTCTTCAAAAGACTTCTGTTCAATTGCTCATTATATGAAACAAACAATATTGCATATTTTTTCCCTCATCTGCAGCTTCTTAAAAATGAAATAAGAAGATTGGAAAGAAATCAAGAGAGAGAAAAGTCTGTGGCTAATCTAGAATACCTGAAGAATGTTCTATTGCAGTTCATATTTCTAAAATCAGGAAGCGAGAAAGAAAGGCTGCTCCCAGTAATAGACACCATGTTGCAGCTCAGCCCTGAAGAGAAGGGGAAGCTAGTTGCAATTGCCCAAGGTAGGTGGTGTTCAAAACATTGTCGCAAAAAAAAGAAAAGTGGAAGTAAAGGCAACGGAAGTTCTGTGCTTTCTTTTTTGTAAACCTTTGAGGAAAAACAGAGCTTAGCAGGATAATGCCAGTGAGCTAGCCATAAAACCATTTTGCTCTGTTGGGAAGTTACTATTCAGTTTTCAGAAAACAGAACAAATACCCAAGAAAATAAATAAAATCAAGGTAAAATATAATTTCTTCTGAAACATACACATTTTAGAAAGACGGTAGTAAGTTGTAAAAATTTAATGTGTTCATGTTTTGAATAGAGTTAAAGATTTCTGTCAAAGTGACCTTAAAACAGAGGTTACTATAAATGAATTGCTTTCTTGGCAGATGTTCTAAAAAGATAATTAAAGTGGTCCTCTCAAGGCAGTACTGCAGATCTAATATTAGTTTCAATACATTAACTTTAAAAATGCCTTCAAGAAAATATGCTTTTTGTTTAAGAACTAAAGGAACTAGGGAAGCAAAGAAAAAGAGTTAAGCCTTTGCAAGAAATTAACCCAAGAGCTGACTGTATAATAATGTTCTGGCTCCGCTTCAAATACTGTCTTTGAGCATTTGTCCCCTTAAAAACGCTTTTTAAGGTATTGTTTGTCACTTCTCAATAACAACCTGCAGCTTCTTGTACTTCATCAGCAACTGATCTATACTTTATTTTAAAATTAATACAAAGAGTAAGTACTGTGTGTATATAAGCACTTAAAAGTTGTGAAGAAAATCATATAAATAAGGAAAGTGGCAAAGTACTGCATTCCATGATAGGCTTTGCATTTGGAAAGATGAGATGTAAATTAAGTCCATAGCATTTTGATGTTGTTCTGGCTCTCTAATGAACACTGATGGGATTTTTCTGGAGAAAGGTGATAAATGGCCTCTTTAAAACATCCTTAAGTACCCAAAGTATAATGGACTTAGTGATAAAATCCATGAACATATCTATGGCAGCTGAAGAGTGAGTATTGAATGTTACCTCCTCAACAAGTTTACGAGGGCAGCATTTGAAAAAGGACAGAGGTGGGGCGTAAACAAGGTCATGTAACTGAATGATGCAATGTCTGACATAATAAACTTAGTTTAAAGTATGTTTTTCTTCCTCCTTCAGGTGAGGAAGAGAGTACCTCACGGCCCTCTGGGTGGGCTTCGTACCTCCACAGCTGGTCAGGACTTCGATGAGACAGTGGAAATGCTGAATCTTTAAACACATTCCACAGTTGCCGAAAGAGAAATCTTAATGTAGAAGAACAATCTGTTGGTGTTGTAGCATTGAACTACAGGTTTTTATTTCTGTGTGTTATTTTCAGCTTTTTAGGCTCTTCTAAGAAAGAAGCCCTCAGTAGCTCTGAAAGACTGTTCTCTATTATGCTCTGACAGCAGTGAACTATTCCTCTTGTAAATGTTAAAGCTGATGATCAGAAGTATAATGAGAAGTGACAAATTAATTGCAAATTGCTTGGAAACAGAATTTGACAAACCTGTGATGGCTCTTTTGATATTGATTTAAAAAACTTTGATCTAATATAGTAACTGCAATAACTAGACTTTAGACTTAAAGCATTTTAAAGTGTTTACAGTTTCTTTCATGTATTTTTGTCAGCTCGCTAATCTATATGGTTAGTGTTATTCTCTGCAAGTTAAAGAAATTAAAATTGAGTTATTTCCTCTCTGGTGATGCTTACAAAATGTAAGATCATTAAGAAACAGAAACAGCATTTTCTGCTTTGACTTGATTAAATTTATAGTCTTGGGGTTTTTTTGGGTTTTTTTTTTTTTTTTTTTGCAAAAGCTAAATTGAAAATATGAAGGCAACGGTCCACAAAATGTAGAGGGTGCCTAAGACTGTAATGAAATATAATGCTTGGCACACCTGGGGCATGGTGCTATAGTAGAGATTAATGGCATCTATGGAAGTCTTGGGATAGTACACCAAGAATTAGAGGTCATAAGTGAGCTGAAGCTTTAGGAGAAAGGGCTTAAGCTATGGCTTTTTAACCTGAGGTTGGAAGTTTGTGTTCAAGACCAGGAAGAAATGTTTCATTACTGTCGTGATGCCTATACTTAGATGAAAAGACTACTCATACTGACTTAGTCATATTGAAGACACTAAAGAAGAATCTGAGTCTGGAGGTCAGACCCCTAACAATAACTTCTGAGAGAAAAGGACAGAACTTTTGTCAATAGATGCATCTTTTAAATGTTCTAATGATTGAAGATGTTATATCCTTCTCTCACTTCTCTGTGTTTGCACGTCATTTGCACAAATCTTACGCATAGATGAGATAATCTCTGTTCCAGGTTATTCAGAAAAATGTTTGGGTTTTTTCCAAGAAAAATACATCTCTGCCTTAGAATTACTTTTTCTGTTAACAAAACATCTTTTTTTTAGCTTCAGTCTTCTTTTTCCCCTTTCTAGTCCATGCTGCCTTTCACCATCTTAATTTATTTGTAAGTTATTAAAATGTATACACACGTTTTTAAACCCTGCTTACCCTCCAACAAGAGTCTTTCCATCTTTTTCACTCGTATTTTCATGCTCTCTGTGCTGTTTTATAGTGAATCATTCCCTGGTATATATACCAATGTGAAATAGTATTCTTTTTTCCTATCTATCTTAGTTGAGGCTCTGAGGAAATGATGCTCATTCCTTTAATATTAACCTTATTCGGGACTGAGATTAATCTGGACATAAGAACAGCAGAAAGGCAGCACGTGTTGAGAATAAAGTGTTCAGTAACTGTGCTTTTGGTTTAATTTTTTGCTTCTTGTATATATTTCAGTACACAATCAACAAAGCCAGCAGGCTTTATTTAGATGTTTTAATTCCTTTCCACAGTCTTAAGCACCTTCCCCCTGCCCCGATATGTGTTCTAACTGGAATCTTTATGGTTTGTGCTACCAGTGAAAACATTTTCTGTGGACTTTCAGATCACAGAACTGATAAATGGTAGTGTGGGGATGAGTCTTTTAGGCATCTGTAGTTTGGAAATGTAGATAGCAAACATAAGGCTACGTTTAGGCTTCCTTGCATTTGCTTTTGAAACGATTACCGTATCTTTGGCATTCACGATTTGCTCCGAATCTCGGATGTTGAATTCTAACTCCTTATTCACTCCTTATTCTAACTCCTGTTAGTGTCACTCTAGAGAATGCCAAAACAGAGCGACAGGAGAGGTTTGAAACATGCATAAAAATAAGTGCAAGTCATTCTCCTGCTGTGATTTTAACAATGGAAGCACATGAGTGGAAGGGCACGACTTTGCAAGCTGAGTTTGAACTAAGACAGACAGCTGTCCTGATCTAGTCTCTTCTGCACAGTATCTGCTCAGCCATCTCTAAAGAGCTGTGACAAGTTGCTTTTAAAATGCACGTATTTCAGAACTGTAGATTATTTAACATTGTAAGCTGTGAATAAATGTACGCAAGTAACATACATCACTGGCTGTATTAAATACCAGTTGCTTATTGACTTATTTCAGGCCCGAGTTGCATGCTCACTGTTTTTAGTAAAACTCAAGTATTGTACTTATGAATGTAGTGGACACCTCTTGCATTACTATATGTATTTTTTTTTACGATGGAAGATTAAGATCTTAATTAATGTAAAGATATTTTAATAACTGCTACTAAACTGTGTTCTGTTGCTAAGATTGCCAGAACTTACCTTTGTGGCAATAAACTGTCTGTAGGCAAATATATCAAAGTTTAATATGCACTTGCAGTAAATGGCATAGAAGAATGTGGACCTGGAAGCAGGATTATTTTGCATAGAAGCCTTTTTGTATGTCATATATTTGCATTTGTAATGTACAGCATTGTAGCTGTGACTTGCTTTCAAAAAGCAATTTAAAATTGTAACTAGTATTGCTGCTTCTTGATATACTGTGGTGCTCTTTTTTGGAAGAGCACAGTGCTGACTTTGCTTTCTGGTTCTTTTGTTTGTTTGTTTTCTTTACGGTGCCATATTTTGGTGGGATGTTACCCAGAAAATGTAACCCCTGCCCAAAGAGTTTACAAGCTTAGGACCAAATTTTACTCTTCTATCAGCCTGCCTTCAGCCAAAGCTTAAGGAGGGCATAATTAAAAAAAAAAAAAAAGACACTCTACTGTCACTATGCAGAGTATATATTAATTAAAAGCCAAAAATGGGAGTGATTCCGAGTTCACAGGCCTGTGTGTGCACTGTAGCTGCATTTTTAACTACCTGTAGTGGCTGTACGGGAATGAGTCATGTGGCATCCATGTGCCATCCATGTTCCCCTTACCCAGAAGGGAGACCCACCTGTGCAAGCGAAACGCACTCCATTTGAAAGCCAGGAAGACCCAAGCTTGTCAGGCTGTAGTGTACATGTGGCCAGTTGGATTTGGGGTTCAGGATGGCCAAAGGGAACCCACGTTAGATGTGATACATGGGAGAGTAGAGTTGCTTTTTTCTTTCGTGACCCTCCTTTCCCGAAGCATAACTGAGAGAATACATGGTTAGATTATTTTCTAAATGTAAATCTTCCTTTGGCTGTCGCCCTCCATCCTTTTGCTTTGATAACAGACGCTATATCCTGGCATTGTGGAGGAATATTTAAAAACTCTCCTTATTTTGTACTAAGTGGCTTTGAAGGCAGCTTAACCACCTGTGCTTCATTTGGCTTATGCCTTGGCTTCACCCAATGCACCAATACTTCCTCAACTACCTGATAGTTCTACTACTGCTGGTACTGTGAAAATATATCTCCCTTAGGAGCCTTGCAGATAGCAGTTACCACCCACAAGCTGAGAAACCAAACGTATGAAGAGGTACAAATGTATTTGTTGTAGTAATTTCAGAATTGCTAGTCTGAATAGAGAAGTGTTTTGGTTGGAAATGCGGCTTTGGCCTTCTCATGTGGCCATCGCTTCAATAAAAGTCACCTTTACCCAACGGAGTGCCTTTCTTTTTCCCTGAATGCCTGTTCTTACCTGAGAAAACGCTACTCAGGAGCCAGGTAGAAAACAAGGGGATGTTTACTGTAGCATTAAAGAGAAGAGTTTATGGGTTTGGTATCGTAGCCGCAGTCTTTACTTTGGAACACAATAACAGTGATGGATACTTCTGGATGAATGGAAAAGGAAAAGAAATTGGTTTATGGGTTTTTTTTAGAAAAAAAAAATCACGTTTTCAAAAAAAAGACTCATTTAAATTACTTCAGGTGCATTACTAGATTGTCACCAAGGATCTGACAATATCTGACGTGAAGAAGAGGAGGGATGCAGAAGGTATTAATGTGCTTGTTAGAAGGATTGCACTTAGTATTTTTATTTTAAGTACTAGCCACCTTATAAATCGACACTCCTTCCAAACAGCACTCAACTTCGAAGAGGACAGAACTTCCTCTTCCCTAATTCCCTGTGATAACTTTTCTGTATCTGCACGGTTGTCCTAGCGCAAAAATTAGATGCTCTATGGATGAAGAGGTGGTTTGTTTGATTGATTGCTTGAAGTGAGAGCTCGGTGTGTGTATCTTTTTGCCATCCACTTTTTGTTAGGCTATGTTCATTATACAAATACGTGGTCAGAGAGCGGATCATAAGGTGCGAAAAGAAGTTGACGTAACAAATGGATATAAAACAGTCAAAAAAGAAAGGCTGATATTGAAAGTCAACTGCTAACAGCTTTCACGTAAATGCATGTATGCTTAGGGGAAGGGAAATAATAATCTGACTGCTTTTCAAACTGAAAGTGATCTAAAGTTTATCATATTGTCCTGCAAGGATGAGGAGGTGCGTCAGGTTCAAGAGCTTCCTTCCTGTCCTATGTTCCCCTGGCTCATCCTGAGGATCAAGGCTGGACTGAATAATGAGGACCGAGGATAGTAAAACAAAGTGGAAAAATGCGCATCGGTTACCGCTCCAACAATTCAACCCACTTTGGTATTAGCGAATCATTTATTCTTTTTGCTGTCAGCTGAATGCCCGTAGGCTTAAGAATCCAAGGTAGAGGAAATCAGTGTAAAAACCGATGTGCTATTTTGGGCATGGGCACAGTCCCAGTCCTCTTGTAATGGCCTTTGGAAGTGTTCTAAATTGATAGACGTTGGCTAGCAGCTGTATATGAGTATAGGATTTAAGGGGGTTTATTGTTTCATCTGGAAGCTTAATTGCTTGAAAATCGAAGCTTGTTCTGAGAACACTCAGAGCGTTTCCGG